ATAATGGATATTGGATAAAAAACCTAGTATACCAGTTGGTATGTTTCTGTTGTTGGTATGTGTCTGTTGTTTGTTTCATTTGCATGTAGTAGCCTGTAGCATTTCATTGCTCTTTATATCATAACTTGTATGTATGCCACATATGAAGAGCTTACAGGCATTTCTGTATATACCGTGTGTGTGTGTTCGTGTGCTTGTGCACAGGTATGTCCACACGTCAGTTTCTGTGTGTTTGTGTATGCACGCTCCAGTGGGCATAGTGCCCACAGGATTAAACCCAGTCTCCATGCTGTCCTTCAGCTTTAAACACTCAGGGTCATCCAGGGCTACAGCCGTGGGCATCTTGCATATAGAACAGCCTCAGTAACTCCATTTCCTCTGAGGGCGATACTCCTCAACAGAGAGAATAAATGCAACCTTAGCTTCACGGCTCTTGATATTACAGAGATTTGTTTGTAGAGAAGAACATTTGTAAACGTGATAATGAAGAGTGGCCATGCTATTTGCAGTGTATTTTGAGTGTATTTTGGATAGCCCAGTACGTTCAGAGAGGCAAATCAAGGGAGCCGGATTTTAAGCATTTTTAATCTGAAGTTTCACCCTGATTTACATGTGTACAGAAGCTTGTTTTTCTGTTTTTGTAGTAGCAAAAAAAATAATAATTATAGGCTCTGTATAATGGTTTTTAATGAGATGGGAAAGCAGCCAGATGGAAGTAGGTAGATAGTGGCAGCAACCAGTTGTTGTTCAAGGAACACGTGGAAACTCATTGTTCCATTCCTTCAGAATAACTGGAACTGCGAGAGAAAATCAAACATCTGCTCATCGAGAAAGAGGTCACGTAGGCTGAAGAGAAATTCACTTATGTGGTATTACTGTATGTTTTCTCCGAAACCATTTTTTTCCACAAATCAGAGGTGTGTGGTTTACAAGTGTCAGAGGTGGGATGTATCCGTGATAATTAGAGGGTCTGGTTTAGTAAGGCAGAATTGAAAATTATTTTTATGATTTATCAACAGGTGTTTATCGACACAAAATACAGTACAATGTGTGTGCAGACATCTATCTTTTGGGATGTTATAGTTTTAATTGCTAAAGGTTTTTTAAGGTTTTCAATTGTGTATTTCTGAGAGTGTAGCCTACATGTATTGTGTACTACAGTTTGATTTTAAGGGCTTAGTTTTAGACATGACAAGACTCTTACAAGCTGAGAGACCTATTTGTACATGTTCTGTTTTGTAATAAAATGACTGAGGCCAAGATATTCCTTAATAATACCAAAATGTTGACTGTGCATGCATCTGTTTTATTGTGGGGCATGGCCCGATGTTGCAGGTTACGCTAACACTTACAGAGACTCAAGGGAAAAGCCTTTATTGTTTTTACAAGCTAGAAAAATTAAGCCTGTCCACTCACTAGATGATGGGGTGCTATTTTCCAATATGAAAGCAACAAAAGGCAGTAACTTTCTTATGATTATTGAATGTTAACGATTATTTGAATGTCATGTGGATTACTTTTGTGGTTCTTTTTGGTGCTTTTTTGGAGCTTAGCAGCTGTGGTCACTATGAAGTGTGTCGATTCTTCAGAATATTTCATCGTTTATTTTTTCACAGAAGAAAGACAGTTATACGGGTTTGGAAAGACGTGAGGGTGAGTAAATGATGACAGAAATTTCATTTTTGGCAGAACCGTTTGTTTCGTATCCACTACTCTCTTTTTTGTCCATAGTCTTGATGGTGAGCCAGTTGGCATCTTTTAACCGCAACTAAATGAACAGCTAAAGTTTCACAGGATAGTGTTCAGTAAACCAAACAGATAGGAAAGTGGAAACAGACAGTTGAAAGACACCACCACACATCCTGAGGGAAGCTTGCGCTCGTAATATGGCCAGCCTAATGAAGACAGAGACAGTGTTGAGCAGCTGAGCAGGATCGGAGAGGACATGCCATGGTTGGTGAAAGACAAGGCCAAGGTTAAGATAGCAAACAGGCAGGGGAGGAGAGGCGTATCGAAGACGAATGGTGCTGTCGGCATGCTGGTTTCAGTACACAAGCAGGCCAGCGCGCTTCTTCCCAGGGGGGACAGTCTTTTATATGGGTGTGCTGAAGAGTGGCCAAGGCCTAATCCTTTCACACACTTCACTGGCCGACGCAATTATACTCTTGCCTCTTCTCATCTCTTGGGGCGAATCTGCATCCAGCAACGCTCTCATACCATCAATCAGACCCTCTGCCCATCATCATAGTGTGCATTGCTGGCATTAGTTGACAGCAGCATCAGCACCAAAAGGCAAAGCTGTTCACTAGATTCAATCATGTCTGACTTTACTCACAGAGCGACAGTATCCCCACTAATAAGGGAAACTGCTTAAATTATATGACCTGAATGTTTATCTATCTGTCTATCTGTCTGCCAGTCTGTCTGTCTATCTCTCTAACAACAACACTTTTATTCAAAATAAAGGACTTTCATTTCATTTGTTGGCAGTGTGAACTCCCCTTTAGATATGGTTATTGGCATTTTCCACATGCAGTACCACTATAGCTCCCTTAGATACTTTAGGACCTGTTGGAAGAGCTAATTTTTTTCTTAACACTTCCAACATAAGTACGGCAGCGTGTCTAATTTTGATGAGGTGATGAATGGAGCGTAGAGTCCCACAAGGATCATTAGCACTCCATTCGCCTTACATGTTGTGGAGCATGTTTCACTTGCTTCACTTTTACTTGCGGTTGGCTTGAAGTTCTGAAGCATTACTTGATCTCACCTAATCTCATTCCTGTAGTCTGGGGCGGGGGTCTGCTCCAGGCTTAAACCATTTCAAGTCCCATAAGTGCAACTGAGTCGTTAAATAACACTTTTAACAACTCAGCAGAGTTGGTTGGTCATTTTAGGAGTTGATGATCCGGTAATGACACAGGTGGTTAAGTCTGAAAAAACACTGTAGGCCGAAAGACTTCATTTCTCTAGCAGAAAGCACTAGCGTCTCCATGGGTATAACAGTGATGGTGAGCTGACTTAGCGGAGCTCAAGTGCCATTTACTCCTGAGTATAATCATTATATCAATTTTCTGCAGAGCAGCTGGTATTGACCCCTTTTGTTCGAATTTGTGTGAATTGGCTGGTGCTGGGCATGAACGAACAAGAGATTACGCTATGATTACAGTCTCCGCCCTGCAATGTGGCTCTCAAACGCACAATTACTCAATCAAGAGGCTTTTATCAACCAGTCAGTGGCTCAGCGCAAGGGCAGGAATGTTTCTCATAACCTGCAATTACCAATTCCTACCGACTGCAATTCAGCAGCCATTTCACAGTTTGTGCACTGAAGGCATAAAAAAGACACGGGATTTCCCTTTGGTACTACATGAGCAAAGACATTATGTAGGTGAAATTTTAATAGCAGAAGATTTCGGCAAGGTTGTGGGTTTGATTCCCCAGGAACACGTGAACTGATTAACACATCAATGTCATTTACTTTAAAATGTAAGAAAGCATC